TATAAGCTACATTATAGACAAGGAACTATGCTATACTATGCTATACCACCTTCTTAAATGGTTACCTTTATTCGGTTTYATACCCATAATATGTGCTTTGAATGTCTAATGTAGTGATACTCACAAAGAAACAATGATTGAATATTTCTGGGCTCTGTTGAACTAAATTTTGTTARTTACTAAAAATCGTTTTGACAGTTATTTTATGTCTAAATTGCTCACTATTATACTGTAATGTTTGACCTATTAAATAAAAAKCTTTATTTCAGACTTCCTTATACCAGTTGTACCTATATTTTAATATTTATGAATAGGTAATACTTTTACGAAAACTTTGTCGTGGGAGATTTTTCACATCGACACTAGAAGACATAACTTCGTCCAAGTTTTTCACGGGCTCGTCGAGAAAGGTAAAAAAGACGAAGATAGATGGCGCTGGTATTATTATCTAGATGCATCGTTGAATACAAATATGAAATGATATTACAATAAAGCCGTTGACGTTATACTAAAAAACAGAATAAATTTTCTGGTTGACTCACTTGACTGTCATGTAGTAAAACTCTAAAAACGTAAGTAAACGACAAACGTACGATTTAAAAAAAAAAAAAATGCATCAATATTAATTGTTTTTAATCCGTGTCCTGGTTTTTACCGCGCATTTCCACCAGGTCCATTCGAGTTTTGAACAATAATCAATTTATAACACACGTTTTTCATTCACTATAATAACTTAATATTATTACATTATTYTTATATGTATAGGTGCAATGTATTAAATACCTTACTTCCTTACTATATATGAGATTTAAACATATGAATGTAATATTACCTATATGTTTGTTTGTTTTACTTGTACCTACAGGCTACAATATTTCCATAACTTTATAATAGTATAGCCATTTGTGTTTTCCTATAACTTAAGTTATACATTTCATATTTCAAATAAAGTATACAAATTTGTRYCCTTTTTAAATTTGATGATATAATGTGCAGGTTCTGTATGGTACTCGGAAAAA